TCTTTGTGAACTCACTTGAAGTACCAGCTGGTCTTCAGGAAGCTTATGTAGTATTTAAGTGAGCAGTAGAGCTTGAAGCCTTCACCGGTGCTCTGAATCTTCAGTGAGCTGGCTGATAATGCTGTATGGGGGTGGGACTCTCGATTAATATAATAGCACATTTTGGATATATTTTAGCAATTCAAAACAAAGTGTTTGTTATCTGGGGTGCTCGGCACATTAATATTCTGGGCACGGAACAGCTAATCAACATGGCTTTCAGGTGTATGATCACCATCCCGACACAGCTCACCTGATGTAGAAAACAAGCCATATGCACATTTCACCAAGATTGTTCTTCTGAATACGTGTCACTTACCGCACTGTTTACTCAGGTGCTGGAGAAGCTTGTCATACTCTGCAAATTAAAAAAAAAAACAATCATCCATATTCAAATAGATTTTTATATTTTATTTTAAATGACTAATTTCCATGATAAATCAAATTACACAAAAAGCAGTAATATTTATTTGGCTAGAAAATCAAGTATCACCTTCATCCAGCAAGTCCAAGGTGCTCACATCTTCTCCTCTCCCGTCTGACACCACAGCTCTGTACGAGCCTGCCTCTTTCTTTGTAACCTGAGGGGGGGGAAAAAATCATCTACTGTGTTAAAGTTAAACATATTCAGAACATTCACCATTTAGTATGTGATATCTGTGAGAACCAAATATTTGATTAAGAGGCATTTCCAGGGCAAGGCTCACTTCAAGGTGAATCTTGATTCATCTCAAGGTTAAGACTCATGTAGACTTAATCCTATAAATGTCAGCTGTCACTCTGTTTATCTCCTTTCGCTCTCTACATCAGCTACAGTGTGATGATTCATACTTGCCTTATCGGAAAATAGAACAGGACACACTCATTACGCATACCTGTGGGATAGTAAGCACGCTGACCCCTGATGATGGATCATACGCAACCTGAGTCACCTCCAAACCATCCTTAAACCACTTGAGAGATGTTTCCTTTTTTGCATTTGTCACCTGCGTCAGGAGAGATAAACAACACCTGTAAAAACAGCACAAAGCGTTCTCGAAAGCTGGTGCAAAAATTGTGGGTCCTTTCATCTTGTTTGGGTTATGTTAGTATTTTAGCTTCGGGTTACAAGGAGGCTCATATGTTATTATACTGTCACATTTCTTTTCAGTCACTCTAGACTGCCAGACTCCATTCAAGTTAGAGTTATATGAAGATAATTATGTGCCTAAATAATTTCAGTTTTAATGTAAGAAATTGAATAAACTTTCAGGGACTGCAGAGGTTGAAATGTTCCTTCACTTTTTCTTCACAAGTGAATACAAAAGATGTAGACGATAACAAGTTTCACATTTGCATTTGGAAGCTGCGGCTATGAAGTCTGTAACATTTGGCCAAAATAGCTCTCAAGGAAAACAGGTTGTCCAAAAATGCAAAAATAAAACAAGTCTGCTACAGAGAAACAAGAACAACCAATGTGGCCAGACAAACAGCTCAGTTAGTTCTGATAAAAAAACCAAACAAAGAATGATCACCGGTGAATTCAGCCACATTAAAAGGCAGAGAGGTGGTTCATCACCGAGTCCTTTAAATGATTAAAAAGGACCTCATCCAAACAAACATCTATCCAAATGAAGAACACGATCCAGGAGGTAGGCACACAATTTATCAAAGGCTACATCTGCACTAGAGCAAATACAGTGCTTAACAAATGTAATCACAAAAACAAGAAAACACAAGTATTCAAAAAAATCTGTCAAAAACTCATTTGAAACTAAAAATTGTTGTTTTTTTATTTGGCAAATAAACCATTT